TCCCGAAACGGGGCACGAACCCGCGTCTCCTGCATCGGCAGGCGGACTTTCAAGCACTGCGCCACCAGGGAAGCCCAGGTTTAAGCTTTTAAAACAGCATTTGTTGCAGCAGGAACACCATAAGGCCAGATAAATGGATTACACTACTCTAACTAAAAGAAGCTAGTTACAGGCAAGAAATCAGGCACTCTATTAGCAGAAAGAGAAAAAACTTCGAAGAAATTACCTGGCCAGGTAGTGAGATGAGCACTCTCTTACACTTGTCTTAGGAGTGTAAATGAGAAACCCTTCTTGGCAGCAAGATTGCAATATTTATCAAGAATCTCAGATTTTTTTTTTTTCATCTTAAAGAATCTTTAAAAAGTTCATATCCACTGGTTCCATTTTTAGGAGTGTAATCTAAGAAAATAAATATATGAAGATTTATGTACAAGGATGTTCAATATATTGGTTATATTTTCCCAAACAACGAAAATAACCCAAATATTCAACAGGGAATTATAAAAATAAATTGTTCCAGCTACTTACTGGAATGCTATGTAGTCAATTTTTTAAAAAATGTTTTCAATGGATATATAATGACATGCTTTATCTTAACATTAAAAAAAAATATGCAGCAGCAAAAAAGATCAAAGAAACATTCAACTGTAAATAGTTGTACTAACTGGCAATAGGATTTTGAATGATTTCATTTGCTTCTTTATTCTGTCCTATGTTTTCCAAAATTCCTGCAATGAGTACATATTTTTAGGGTTAGAAAAAATGTTTTGTTCTTTTTTTTTTTAAAGGAAAATAACCCTTGGCTGCAATAGGCTTATATAACTATTATAACTTCTCTATCTACACAAAGGGAAGAGTGTGTGGCCACTTACCCGCCCTGTGTCCACACTGGGTTTCTGGTGGCTGAAATGCACATCTGAGGGACATCTGTATGTACACTAACTTATTTGTTATAAAATTTCACTGGATAGGTGACTTCTGATACACAATATAGTCCAAGCAGAGTATCACAAAACACATCACTAAAGTATACTAAAATAAGGTTATTTACTTAAAAATGATATACTGGATGTAATCTATATATAGAACAAAGCAATTAATGGTAAACTTAATAAGGCACCTTTTAAACCAGATGCTGTACAAAATACATTGTGTGTTACATATCAAAGACGAATCTATATTTTTGGTGTTTTACAAATGCATAATAAAACTGCTTGTTTTTAACCTTCTTTCAGCGTATATGTACAACTTTCCTAATTAAGCTATAATGATACTTTCATTTTATACAATATATACTACATTTTAGTTTTTAAATGGGCAAAGACAACAGTCACTAAAAGGGCTTAAATAATTCCATTGAAAGCATAGTACAGAGCACAAGCTAAAATTATAATATATTTAATCCTTTACAAAAGCAGTATTCACATACCTTCCTTATAGGATGATTACACATAGCTTCATGTGATGCTGCCCTAGATTTAATCTGCTCTTTATGAATGTATCAGCTCTCTGCAGTTTTCACTGTGACTCTCATAATAGCACTGAGGCAAGAAGATGAACTGCTACACTGCTATTTTAACATCTGACCCAAGCAAATAATAAATATTACCACTTTTAAACAGTACAAGAGCTGCAACAATCTTTTTAAAAAAAAATAAATTCGTATTTCTGCTGTTGAAATTATTTTAGATATTTAGAAACATTTCAAAACGTGTATGAAAAGAAAAACAAATAATTTAATTTATAAAATCTTGCCTGGAATAAATTATTCAATATCAAATTTGATCTTGGGCCAACTTAGAGATGCATGATTCTTTAAACATTGTATTGCATTTTTGTTCTAAACAGAAGCAAAGCATCTGGGGAAAAAAAGGTACTGAATATTTTTTAGAGCAAATAAATAAAAAATCTGGCACATTCTAGGAAAACATAATTTTCAAGAACTATAGGTCACTTTCTAAGCTCAAAAACACTCCTGAAATTGGAAAGGCAACACAAAATGTTGATTGAAATATCTTTTGTGAAAACATTTCCAGAGAAACCAGATTTGAATTTTATGCTTCAGAAACTTGTCCAATAAGAAAGCACAGGGAAAGCTTAGAATAGACACACTGAAGCCAATTCCTAGCATGCATGCCCTTAATTCTAAAGATATTGATATTTACCAGTATAAAGAGAATTCATAAGGAGAATTTTCTTTGAGGAAGGATTAACTTCTGTTATATTCAGGTAGTTTTGGTTTTTTGTTTGTTTTGATGTTTTAGTTATTTAAAGGGATGACAGACAGAAGCTACACATTTTTAAGATGCTAAGTTGTAAACAGGACCAAATAATGGCTTCCAGGGTTTTACAAATTATTATTTATGGTACCATGTAATACTTCCTCTTTTACTCTTTAAATATTTAAATATGAATTTAGAAATTTAAGAGTAAGAATAAAAGGAGAGAAAAAATAGATTTCATGCAACTTGTTTTTGACTTTAGGATTTCAAAAATGGAATCATTTGCTTTGTAAAGAACATGTAATATTAGAAAATATTTTTATTGAACAAGTTTCTTGGTATCATTTTTAATAGATCAATTTAATTAAAAAATCATTATAATGCTCTTGTACTTATATATTATCTGCAATTGTCTGCTTCCACATACTATTTTAACATTTCTAAGAATACAGTTTGCCTTTCCTTACATTTTTTTATTATTAAGATGACAAATTATTTTCAAGATTTATAGTTTATCAAATGAAAAATAAATCAAGGTTAACCTTACACTAAGTAGAGCTCATAAGTATTCCTAAATCACTTGGAAATTTAGATAAAAATACCTGTACTTCTCAGTACAGAGATGGGGAAAACATTCTCAAACAGGAAGTTACTGGGTACTATATATATCAATATATAAATTTACTTATCTTGATAAACACTTCAAGCTTTAGTTATGTACGATGAAAATTATTAAACTTGGTCAAAACTGTTAAAGCAAGTCTCAAATTTGTGATTGATGTATAGACAAATATGTAAGCATTTCATCCTTAAATGTCAGTCACATTTTTGGCAATGGATGGATACATGCTCTGATTCCTCCCCTTTAAAGATTTTTTAAACTATGTTGCGATATAATCAATTTATTTTATGCTATATTCAAGAAAACTGTCTCACTTTATGCACCCATGAGTTGTTTGTTCAGAATAAGACATTAATATTTAAAAGGCATTGCAGAAGTATAGTTAGTTTAAGTAAATCAGAATTACTCCTTGGGGAAACAAGGCATCCATAAATATGTAGCATTTTATTGAATAACAGCTATATGGTATAGATATAGGTACTGACTAGATATTGAACTTTTTGCCTGATTCTTCACTGTCTTCACAAACTTACGGAACAGAAATCATAAAACCAAAAATCTCAAATGATTTAAATGTCTAAAACAGTTGTTGACAAATGTATATTAACTCTGTGACAGAAATTTCTAATTGGAGGATCCTTTCATAAAGGAGAATTGAGATGATGGCATCTTAATGAAAGTCTATACCTATGGTTAGTTCTTGATATTTAAACAAAGTCCTAGACTTGATATACTACTTTGAATTAATTCTGAAAATTTACATGTAGTTCTACTTTACAACGTTTTTTTTCTGAAGAACTTTTAATTTTTTTCCCCTTAAGGATGGGATATGAGGTACACATGAGCTGGTTTCTATAGTATGAATGTATGTACATATATAAAATAGGGTTGTAAAGGAGCAGGTGCTTTGCAAGTAAAGCATATTACACGCAAAATATAAATAACTTCCCTTTTAAAAGTTACTGAGAATAAAGAATACAGAACATGGTTATAGGCACTTAAATTGCTATCAAATGCAGTAATTAGTATTCACTTCAATAAGAAGTGTTTTCTTTAGAAGGTTCATGGCATTGGAAGTTCCAACTTTGGATAGGATGCTTTTCATGACAAAAATAATAATTACAAAAAAAAAAAAAAGTTTGTGGTGGGAGGAAAACAGTCCAAATTTACATACACTTTAAACTCCTTTTGGCCTTTATATCAATTTTAATGTTAAAAAATAAAGTTGGTGGAGAAGCTAGCTCACTTGCAAGGTAAATGGCTTTTATGTGATTGGCAAATCTTGGTCAGATAATGCATTTTTAAAGCACAAAACCAACGGCCACCAATATGCTCCTGTGCATTCATAAATTATTTTCTTCTAATTCAAATGGCAGCAGAGGAATTCTCGTATGCATGTATGTACACAGACACACACACACACACCACTATCAAGGCATGACAAACTATCATAAACTAAGCAGTATCCCAAACAGATCATGATCCATAGGCTGTTTACAAAGGTAGAATACAAATAGATTAAATTTTCTCAGGTAGAAGGTAAAAGTGTATATTTCTCCATCTCTGCTGAATTCATTTATCTTCTTAAGGCTTTCACAGAAAGCACCATTTTATGAACAGGTAATTCAGTACCCAGAGTTTGACTGGAGACATTAATCAGGATTGAAGTCTTGATGCAGTTCATAAAAACCCAATAAAAAAAAGGCATCAAAAACCACATTTATAATAAAGCTGTCCATATATAAAGAATGAAGTGTTTAGGAGTTCCCAGCTTGTATTCTACAGAGTACTGAAAGGTTTAATATTAGCAGCCTGTGAAGGTGTAGTGAGGAAAGAGTCTGAGAACCAAGTTAACATCCTTATTCTATTCTAATTCCACCCGTTCCTTGGGTGAAAACAGTTCTTGCAGTCTAGAATTTCTCCTCATGATTATTTGTCTGTCAAATCTTTACATCTTGAGATTCAACCATCTTGGCAAGTGTCTTCTTGATTCTCAGAGCTGTAAGTCTGGAGGCTGGATTGTGAGCCCAGCATTCTGACATTAGCTTCAAAACTGCTCGTAGACACTGAAAAGTAAAGAGAATGTAGTGAGTAGGTAAATATCTTTGGCAACACTCAGCAATCACTTCCTAAGGGGACTGAATTCCACTTACTTCATCACTGTTCCATCGATTAGACACAATTGGCCGCAAACGTTTGACACACACAACCTCACGCATATCTTCATATGATGGGTCACTGGGTACCATGTTATAATATGGCAATTGGTACTCTTCTACGATTCCTGTAGTGAGTTAGAAATTACAGTGGGCGCAAAAATGGTGGCTGGACAAAATACATCAATCCATTCAGTACCTTCTACTGAACTATGGAACGGAAACAAATCTCTCCATAAAGAAGAAAAGATTACAGAGTGGATGATTCACTTTTAATAGTAAACGTATGTTCTCTTTTTTTTATGTCTAATTATTTTCTCTACCCCCACCATAGCTGTCCATATTGGACATACCAATATCCCTTAAAATAAGCAAGGCGAACCACTCACTTACCCTAAATTTTCAGTCGTTATTTATGTACACAATTGTTTCTACTAATGAATGAGGTTTTAATTTTTTTAATTATTTTTTTTTCTGCAGTAGAAAGACAACATATATGCAGAAAAGAGTTAATAAAGCAGACCTGAAACTGCTATTCTTAAAAGGCCTGCTTGCAAGACTGGCACTTGACTGGTGTCTGAGAACTTGCCTGGTAAACAGCTCCCTACACTCATATAAAACTAATGAAAAGGTGAGTCACTGTTCCTAGACTGTTTGTGCCAACAATATGGTTTATGCTGGACACCTGGCTTTCTTTCTAGAAGTTTGGAATTTTGATACATACTAGGCAGAGGATGCCCACGTGACCAGCCTCCAAAAAAATCTTTGGGTACTAAATCTCTAATGAACTTCCCTGGATGACAATATTTTACACATTATCACGATTCATTGCTGGAGTAACTTAAGCAAATCCCAAGCGACTCCACTGGGAAAAGACTTTTGGAAGCTTGTACCTGATTTCCTCTAAACTTTCTGCCCCATGCACCTTTTCCCCTTTGCTAATTTTGACGTGTAGCCTTTCAGTGTAACAAATTTTAGCTGTGAAGACAACTATATGCTGAGTCCTGGGAGTCCTAATGAAATCACAGAACTGGGGAGGGGTTGATCTTGGGGTTCCCTGACACACACGACATCTAAATTATACAACTGGAGCTGTTATTTTTTGAATGATGAGTATACAAACATAACCAGAAACATGCTACCTAAACTCCTACCTCCTGTGATACAACGACGAGCCATTTCCCAAATAATCAGGCCAAAGCTATAGATGTCAGCCATTATGTAGGGCTGGAAATGGTTTTTATTCAGGCTTTCATCTAGCACTTCTGGAGCCATGTAGCGTTTGGTACCCACCCTAGTATTCAAAGGTACATCAACTTCATTTGTATCACTGAAACAGAAGACAGACAATGTCCAGGTTGAGGGCCAAGAACAAAATCGTTTCTCATCTATTTTTGTCTCATATTGTAAAAGTCAGGGTCTCTCTCTGTATATATATAACAAAATAAAATAAAGATCTATCTTTCTATCTAATATGTCTACATCCCCTTAACAGAAATCCTTGGGGTCAGATGCATTTTGAAATTCAGCATCTTTCAGATTTAAAAAAGTAATATACCCTTTAAATATATACTATATATTATATAAATCTCCAGCAGGGTCTGCAGCAGTACTCAATCAAAATCATTAGTAAGTACACAGTGAAAAACTAAGTATGAATGTTCATACTAAGCTGGATAAATAAAGACAGTAAATACCTCACAACAGTTCAGGTCAAGTTTTGTCACCAACAATTTTTGTGCCTCTCTAAGAAAGAGAACAACACTGAATACGAAAAAAGTGGTACGTAATTATATCCCAGAACAAGTGAATGTGAAAATTAATTGAGAGGAATCATTTGCTTTTATCATTCTCATGTGATCCTTTGTGATTTAGGATTACATTTTTTTTCTTTATGGGTCCGACCAACTTAGTTCTACTGTGAGTAATGTTTACATAATCATATTGAAATGATGTTTATTGTTTTTTTCAATTTTTAGAGTAAATTTTAGAGTTAGAAGACATGAATGATTTGTTTTTAGGTCTCCAGATCTATTACGTTCTGAAAACTACTCTGAGGCAGAGATTAATATAATGTATTTTATATTTTCTTAAATTAGCATCTGATGAATATTTGAGCCAATATACACTCCACTGATGAAAACAACAGGATTAGAATACTGTAAAAATGATGGAAGAAGATTAAAATTTTTTAATGTTTGCTTTATCATGGACTAGTACTTTTAAATTATGGCCTGAAATGAGTTTTGAAATGTGAAATGGCTGCTGTATTCCAGAATTATAACATTAAAACAATTTAAATGGTTTTCTAAAAATCTGATATTCTCATTGTTTAAAAATATTGACAATATCAAGTAGTGATGAAGAAATGGCGTACTTATATCTTGTTTATGGGAGTGTAAACTGATGCACGCTTTCTAAAGGGATAATCTACAACATACTATTAATAACTTAATATGTACATACTCTCTGTTTAGCCTCTTCTCTAGCAATCCATTATGAAGAAATACTTGTCCAAGTGTTCAAGGATATTATATATGGATAAAATACAATATTCATTAAAGCATTTTTAAAATAATAGAGATAAACTGGAGGTAACTTTAATGCTCAGCAGTTGGGTCACAGATGAAATAAACTACAGTACATCTATAAAATGGAAAACTTTCCTTAACACTGTTAAAAAGAATGAAGTAGATCTATATATACTGAAACGGAAGGATGCCTAAGACAATAAAAAGTAGGAAATCAAGAATTATGTAGAATAGGAGGTAATTTTTGTTAAAAACAGAAAACACAATGACAACAAAACACGAAGACAGGGCTTCCCTGGTGGCACAGTGGTTGGGAGTCCGCCTGCCGGTGCAGGGGACACGGGTTTGTGCCCTGGTCTGGGAAGATCCCACATGCCGCGGAGCGGCTGGGCCCGTGAGCCATGGCCACTGAGCCTGCGTGTCTGGAGCCTGGGCTCCGCAGCGGGAGAGGCCACAACAGTGAGAGGCCCGCGTACCGCAAAACAAACAAACAAACAAACAAACAAAACCCCACGAAGACAAAAAAACCCCAAAACCCAATTTATATAATTATATAAGCACAAATACACGTTTGGAAATCCATTGTCCTGAATACAAATACTAACAGGTAAATATCTTTAGGAGATTACAATAATTTCAAAGCAATAGGTAAAGAACCACTCACCTGTTGAATTTAACAGCAAGGCCCAGGTCAGCAATACAGCAACTTCCATTTTTCTTGATGAGGATGTTTTTGCTCTTTAGGTCACGATGAGCAATTGCAGGCTTTCCTTGAGTGCCATAAATTTCTGTGTGGAGATGGCACAGACCACAGGCAGCTGAATAAGCCAACTTAAGCAGGGCTCTGGTGTCTAGTGTAGCACATTTCAGGAAATCATAGAGAGATCCGTTTTCATGGTAATCGGTAATCAAATAGAGCTGAGTCCAGGAACCTGTACCTTTAATATCTGCTGCTATAAAACCTGTTCAATTAATGAATTTAAAAGGTTAGTTACCAGATGTAGCTAGGAAGAATAATGAATGCTCATTTAGGATACTGAGAATAACTTAGGTATAATCTACAGGTAATAAAAATTTAACTTGTCTGACAAAATCTCTTGAATATATTACCAAAATTTTTATTTCTGTCATTTACATATAAAAGTCTATACTTTTGTAATTAATTTAAAGTAATCTTAATGATAATCATAAAAATGTTAATATGACTAAGAAAAAGATCACATATATAATAACCTAGGGAAATGCTATTAATCTACATGATTCTGTAAGTATGAAGAACTATAAAGAAGGAATGTGGAAAAGGCTCTTCATTTCAAACTGAAAAGTGGGCCCATTAAAATAATAAAGTTAGGGCTTCCCTGGTGGTGCACTGGTTAAGAATCCGGCTGCCAATTCAGGGGGCATGGGTTCGATCCTTGGTCCGGGAAGATCCCACATGCCTTGGAGCATCTAAGCCCGTGCACCATAACTACTGAGCCCGCGCTCTAGAGCCGGCAAGCCACAACTACTGAAGCCCACGCGCCATGATTACCGAAGCCTGCATACCTAGAGCCCGTGCTCTGCAACAAGAGAAGCCACTGCAATGAGAAGCCCGCACACTGCAATGAAGAGTAGCCCCCGCTTGCCGCAACTAAAAAAGTCCGCGTGCAGCAACGAAGACCCAACACAGCCAAAAATAAATAAAATAAAAATAAAACTAAAAAAAAAATAATGATAAAGTTAAATATGTTCAACTAAGAGTTCGCTCCTAACTAAGCCAACTCCCACTTGCCCATCAATGCCTTATCACATTTTCCTTTTCAGCCTGGCTCACTGACAAGCAAGTTCACGATACTGGCCTCCTTTCTTTCTCCTTTCTCTTCTCCTCCCTCTCTTCAGAAAAAGGTGAGTGCTGAGTTGAACAATGTCCCCCTCCCCATTCATGTCCACCTGGTACCTATAAATGTGACCTTATTTGGAAACAAGGTCTTTGTAGGTATAATCAAGTTCAGATGAGTTGATACTAGGTAAGAGTGGGCCCTAAATCAATGACTGGTATTCTTATAGGAAGAGGGAAATATGGATACAGACACACAGGAAGAAGGCCACGTGCCAACAAAGACAGAGATAGGAGTGTGGTCTCCCAAGCCAAGGAATG